TTTAATTATAATATAACACGACTATATCTTTATTTCCAACTTTGTTTTCGTTATTTTTCCTCTGTACGTGTATTTATGTATGTATATATGTGTGTGTGTGTGTATATATATATCTATTTGTATGTGTATGTGTTTATGTGTGGTCCTTTTTTTTTCTTCCTCTTTCAATACACGTTTATCTTCCTTTTCATCGACATATTGTATATATGTATATAATATAATAAATAAATATTAAATCATTCACTTTCATTCGTTAAATCAATTTCTCATTCATTAAAATCAATCACACAATAGTCACGTAATAAATGAAAATCATTTGTGGCGAATGATTACGATGAGATCGACGAAATGTTTTTGCGAAGAACAAAAGGAAATGAAAAAAAAAAAAAAAAAAAAAAAAAAGAAAGAGAAGAAGAGAGATATAGAAATAGCTTTGGTAGTTACACGGCTATATGTAAGAGAAGTATATTGTGAGTGTGTGTGTGTTTGTGTGCGTAAATAAAAATAAAAATAAAAATAAAAATAAAAAGAAAAAAAGCTAATGTTTTTTTCGGAGATCGGATTAATATTTTTTTTTTCTTTTCTTTTTTTTCGATCGATAAGATTTACGTATCTAACGACGTAACAACAAGCAGAAAACATGAAAAAAAAAAAAAAAAAAAAAAAAAAAAAAAAAAAAAAAAAAAAAAAAAAAAAAAAAAAAAAAAAAAAAAAAAAAAAAAAAAAAAAAAAAAAGGATTACAAAAGTATATGCACGTATCGTTTTTACATGTATTTCGTTTCGTGGATCGATTGAAAAATATTAAATTAATTCGAAAGATGTATCTACTTTTTTCTTTTCCATTCCTTTTTTTTTCTCGCAATAGAAATGTAATTTTTACGTCTACAGTGTATGTATATATATATATTTTTTTTTGTATTCTTTTTGTTTTTTTTTTTTATTTTCTAATTGGTCACAACGTACCGCTCCAGATTGTTTAAATGTTAACGCGTTAATTGCCCAAATGTTTTTACTATAGTACAATTAACAAAGATGTCGATTAAGTTTATTTCATTTTATTTTACTCTATTTCTTCTCTTTTTATTTTTATTTTTTTCTTTTCTTTTTCCTTTTATTTTATTATTTTTTTTTGTTTTGTTTTTCTTTTGTAATTAACGACGAAGCATGGCATAAGCATTATTGTTGTTATTATTATTATTATTATTATTATTATTATTATTATTATTATTATTATTATTATTATTACTATTATTATTATTATTATTATTATTATTGTTATTATTATTATTATATTTGTTGATCGATAAAATTCAATTCGCTAAATTAAGAATTGACTATCACATTATTTATATGTATATGTACGTATATATTGAAAATGTTTGAAAATTTTCTAACGAAAATTTTATATTATATTCCTTCTAAGCCCATCATCATTTTCTTTTATATTTGTATAAAAAAAATTGTTTACTACGTATGTGTATATGTCTAGTACATGTACTTTCGTATTCTTTTTTTTTTCTTTTTGTTTTTAATCTATCATTTGTTTTTTTTTTGTTCTTATTCTTTTCATTTTTGTCTTTTTTTTTTCTTTTTTTGTTTTTCTTCTGCTCACTTTCTTATCGCAATACTTTATTCTGTAAGAATATGAAAATTCTTACAGACTTTCTTGATATGCAAAGATCGTTCTAATGTTACGTATGAATCGAAAAATCGGATGAATGCGATATAGCAGCGATCAAATTAGATTCGTATTAAAAAGATTTATACGATCAGACAGATAGATGCAATTTATAAATTAATAGTATAATTCTTTACCTATACAAAAAAAAAAAAAAGAAAAATAAAAGAAGGAAGTAGAAAAGAAAAAACAAAAGAAAAACAAAAAATTCCCTTTAATTTTTAATAAGCCGGTCTATTATAAAATAATGAGAAAGCAAGATAAAAAATAAAAAAAGAAAGAAAAAAAAAAAAAAGAATTTAATATATAGCACCGCGTCTATATTATTTATTATACTTCATATAATTTTTATATCCATGCTTCATTTATGCAAATCCATTAACACAGACAATTTCTAATCAAAGAATATGTGTGTATATGTGTGTATATATATATTAATATATAAAGAGATACACATACATACATACACACACACACACACACACACACATATATATATATATATATATATATATATAGATAATAATCCAATGAGATTGCACGACTAATCGAACAATTGAAGATAAAGAAACTAAACAAAAATATTGCATTAACAAAATCTTAGCAGTCATAAGAAAAAAAAAAAAAAAAAAAAAAGAAATGAAAAAAAAAAGAAAGAGAAGAAAAAAAAAAGAAAAGAAATTAATTCATATATTTTTCATATATATATATATATATATATATATATATATATATATATATATATATATATATATATATTGAATTCAATATGAGAACTAATATGTATGATGGCGAGGGAATAGAGTATGATTATAAAACACGTGGTAAAATTTTCATGCAATGAACAAAAAAAATCACGACTTGCTTGTAAATATATATATACATGCATATATATATATATATACATACACACATATTTATTTATATATATATATATATATGTGTGTGTGTGTATGTGTGTACATATATTATATCATAGCTCGAAGGAAAAGTGGTGCCTGCCACTTGGAATCTCTGTACAGATAAAAAAGAAAAAAGAAACAAAAAGAAGGGGGAAAAAGAAAAGAAAGAAATATCTCATCTTGTAGATGATGCATTATTTTCATGCATCGTGTAAACGCATTCTCTCTCTCTCTCTCTCTCTCTCTCGCTCTTTCTCTCTCATTCTTAACACATAACTTTCCTGTTCGTTCGTTCGTTTGTATTTTCTTTTATTATTATTATTATTTTTTCGAAATGAGGAATTAACTCAAAACTAAACACGGATGCAGGTACTCTAAGATTTAAATCTAGTATCGTTTTATATTACGACGATACAGATCGATCACAAAGGAAAAAAAAAAAAAAAAAAAGAAGAGAAAAAAAAAGGAAAAAAAAAAAAAAATAATAGTTAATAATTAATAATAATGATAATAATGATAACAATAATGATAATGACGATAACGATGATAATGATAATGATGATAATGATAGTAATGATGGTGATAATAATAATAATGTTCGTAATGTCAACATTTAACTCTTCCTTATTTAAATTGTACGATGTTTGTTACGAAACGTAGAGCATAACGAGTATAATTATGTATTAAAAAAAATTAATAATAATAATAATAATAATAATAATAATAATAATAATAATAATAATAATAATAATAATAATTAAAATAATAATAATAATAATAATAATAATAATAATAATAATAATAATAATAATAATAATAATAATAATAATAATAATAATAATAATAATAATGGTGGTAATAGTAGTAGGTATAATAATAGTAGGAGTAATAGTTGTAGTAGTAGTAGTAGTAATAGTAGTAGTAGTAGTGGTAATAATAATAATAATATTAATAATAATAATAATAATATTAATAATAATATAATAATAATAATAATAATAATAATAATAATAATAATAATAATAATAATAATAATAATAATAATAATAGTAACAATAATAATAATAATAATAATAATAATAATAATAATAATAATAATAATAATAATAATAATAATAATAATAATAATAATAATAATTTCTTCTGTTTTAATTCCTTTCGGAAACTTCGAATTCTATGACGATTATTTCATGTATGATTGCAAATACATATAATATGACAACTAGACAAAGTGTAAATATATATATATATATATGTATATACATACATACATACATACATGCATACATACATATATAATACATATATATATAGCTCCTTTTTGTTTCTAACAATACTATTATTATTAGCTATAATAATCGTTACGAGAGAAGCGTAAAGTTGCAAAATTCAGCCTTTTGCCAGTTTTCGATTTTTTTTCTTTTTCTTTTTTTTTTGTTTGTTTGTTTGTTTGTTTGTTTGTTTGTTCGTTTACACAAGAAGAGACGTTTTTTTTTTCGAACAACGTTAATCCGCCTTTTGCAATATCTATCTGTGTGCACAAGATACATAATATTTATAATATTTACAAAATATATATATATATATATCTAGAGGACAAATTCGTATAACATGCATAGATATAAAGCTAGTTATTCATTATGAAAATGAATTTTTTCAATATTCCTCTTTCACGATTTATTTTTGTTAATAAATGATCGAAGTTAGCGCTAAGATAAATAAGTTTTTTTTTCTTTTTTTTAAGAGGGAAAAAGAAGAAAAAAAAAAAAAAAAAGAAAAGAAAGAAAAATCATGCTTGCGCGTGGTAAAATTAATACATTGCAAAAGTTATTATTTGGGCGCAATGAAATTATCTTTAATATACATATATATATTTATATATATACATATATATATATATATATATATATATATATCTATTTATTTATCTATCTATCTATATAACTATATACACAAATATATAACAATATTTACTAACTCGATGAATATGAAATATTCATAAATAACGAACATAAATAACATATTCTCGTGTTATATACACATATATATATATATATATATATATATATATATATATATATATATATGCTGAAATTATTGTCGAAGTTCGTTTTCGTGTAAAAAGCAACGCTCCTCTTGATACATATCATTTTTAATTGGAGCTACTATATAACTGAGTTTGTAACAACGTATGTATGTATATATCAGACAAATACTCTCAACGGAAATAAAGCATTAGAAAGAAAGAAAAAAAGAATGAATGAAAGAAAGAAAGAAAGAAAAAGAGAAGGAAAGAAAGAGAGAAAGAAAAGGAAAAATACAGAAAGAAGAAAAGAAAGAGAGAAAAAAAGGAAGAAAAAAAAAAAAAAGCACGTACGAAAATAAACGGACATAAGAATCTCATCTATTAGATCTTATATCTTTTCTTCTTTTTCTCTCTTTTTTTTTCCCCCTTTTCATTTTTTAGAATTTTTGATTAACTCGCTGCGACAAAACATTCATATGTATAGACGTATCTCTTAAAGTTTTAAATATTTCCTACATGTACGTGACCAAGAAGATATATCAACATTGTTATCATCTTATTATGGACATAAGACGTTTACACATGTAAGATGATGAGTCGAAGCCATAATCTATAATGTATATATATATATATACATTAATCTATATGTATATATATATATATAAGCCAACATGTGTATGAGAGTATACGTACGCACTCATACATATAAAGAGAGTCGCATAGTGGCAGTAACAAATAAAAGAAATCAATATATGGCAATTGGTTCTCTGTTTTCTTGCTGTTGTTGTTGTTGTTGTTGTTGTTGTTATTATTATTGTTGTTGTTTCTTTCCCCCTGCTCCTTTTGTTTTCAAGCACCGGCAAAGCCATATACCTCGAGTACCCTGATTTCAAAATCACCGCTAGCACACAATGGTGGATTATTAAATGTTGAGCACCGATCGGTTTTGCCGTATCTTATATTTTCATCCATCCAAATTGCTTGGCCGTCTCTATACATGTATATATATATATATATATTATATATATATATTATATATATAATATATATATATTATATATATAATATATATATATTATATATATAACATATATATATATATATAAATATATATGTGTAAATGTTATATAAATATTATCTATATTAACATTATATTTATATTAATATTTATATATATATATATTATTTTTATTAATATATTTATTAATATATGTATATATGTATGTATGTATAAATCTTTTTTTTATTAATTATAAGTTTATAATAATAATTAAAAAAAAAAAAAATAAATAAATAAATAAATAAATAAAATTAATAAAGTAAACTTAAACTTACCCTCCACCAATTGTTATCATTTTTGAATCAGCCGCCATAAATAATTCAGCTGAATGATGTACTCTAGAATCATTGTGTGAAGAATCCATACCTACCCATGGATATTTGGCTCTTTCTGGATACAAACTAAACAGGAATGTTTCTCCTGTACCAAAATACGCCTGTCTTTGACCTTTATCATCCTTTAAATTACGTTCGCACCATCTTGTAGAGCAATAAGCTCCAAAAACCTTGGAAAAGAAAATTTTAATATTTCAATTTCTGTAATATTACAAAATTAATTAATTAATTAATTAATTAATTGTTGAATAATGCAAACTATGAACTTACCTCGTTGTTACATGTCTTTATCATTAAAAGGGTTGGTTCATGTTGTTCAACGCGTACATAAAATGTTGTCAAAGAACATCCGTGTTCTTCTGTAGTGTACAGCAAAATTGGTTGGTACATGGTTATTCTCATGGGTAGCCATGACCACAAGGTGAATAACTGTATGAAAAAGAAATATATAAATGGAATTAATATATAAATCTATTGAATGGTAAAGTGCAATTTTTTTTCTTTTTTCTTTTTTTTTTTTGTTTTGTAAATATGCAAACATTAATCATTTTGAGCAATTTATTTAAATTTCAAAAAGCAAAGTAAATCACAACAGCAACAGATCATGCACTCAATCGAAAAAAATCTTACTTATTCTTAATTCTAATCAATTTTGTCGATGCAAATTTTTTTTTTTATAAACGCTTTTTTAGCGTATTTTTTTTTTTTTTTTTTTTTTTTTTTTTATATAAACAAATATACAAAGAAAAAGTTTTAATACCATTTCTTTTTTTTTCCTCCAGAAAATATAACTAAAAAGTACTATAAATATTTAGAATCAGTAAGAAATGTTTGCAATAATTATTTCAAATAAAATAATTTCAATCTCAATTGTAAAAAAAAGGCAAGGGAGAATGTGTGTTCTGCAATTAAAAATTTAATACTCACACTAAATAAAAACAACCTATGTATGTATAATGTGCATAAAACAGGACAATATTTAGTCAATCATAGATCGGCATGATTGTTACAATTTAATATGAAATGTTTAGATTATAAAGAGATATCAAGGTTATGTGAATGCAAGATCTTTTTTTTTTTCACATGCATATGATCTAGGTATACTAGTCAAACCTACATGAAGTTTACTAAATGCACAGTGACATTCTGAAGAAGAGCGAAAGAAATTTATGTCTGTTGATGGTAGAATGTATTGCAGACTCATGGAAGAAATATACTGCAAACTGAAAAATTGATGTGGACACATTTTTAAACATATCAGATAAATGTGGAAGTCTACATTTTATAACTCCGACATAGGCAAAGAATAAAAATGCTATTAAAAAATAAGAATAATGCAATTACGTATATAAAAACGATAACAACTATAAAAGTATAATTATAATAAAAAATGCTAGTACAAATAATTAATTAAATAACTCTCATTTTTTACATCATGATTGTAAATCAAAAATATAATGGTACATGATACCTAATAAATATATAGCATAATTGTGTATATATTATATATATATATATATATATATATATATATATATATATATATATATATGTATATAAATAAACTTAATTAATAATACATCATATCAAAGTATCCATAATTGCCAATTTGTGATTGATCTATACGTTGATCTATATTGTAAGGCAACAATGTATACATCAATAACGACATACCGAAATCATGCCACAGAGAATCGACGAACGATCTACGAAAGCGCTCTGCCTTTCCAGAATTTGCTTTTACGAGAGCAGACATACAGGAATACTTACATCAGGCATGTCAAGAATCTGGGAGCATATGTTTTGTATGGGATAAACACCCATTGAGAGAGCTCTGGGTCCAGGACTGTGAGCACCCTATACCCATCACCATTAAATCCATCATTCCAGTAACGCAGCATGACACAAAGCAACACAGAGTCGTCAGTTACATTAGTGTATACCTTCGACTCAATTTTGTGTGCCAGTGTGCGTGTGCATAAATGTTTGGTGGATAAACCACTGTATGTACGCAACATATGAGCAACAACAGCCAATAATATTTTCAAATTATTCAAGTTAAATATACAGTAGCATAATAACAATGGGTATTTGCCACAGAAGATAAATGTCTAACCTCAAAAATAAATGTAGCAAGAAATAATCAATATATCATTAGAATATGTAATATATATATGTATATATATATATATATATATATCTTAGAACGAAGAGAAAGTATGAGCAATGTGTGTCAAGTACTTAGTCAATTTCCATTTGCATCAAACACTAATTGTGACCACATCATAGGGCTCCATAAAATGTATTACATTCTCTGTATAATGAAAAGAATTTGGACCTTTAGAATGTGATTTCATGTCACCTGAAGTCAATCGAGTTTTGTATCAGGCAATAGCAAGCACACATGAATGGCTAAAAGGCACTATCTACACCTTGAGAAGATAACATTGTTAAGAAGAATAAGAGCGAAAAAAAGTATCCATAAATACATCACCTATTTCGACAATATGTATTAATATGGAAAGAATTCACTGATTATCAGTGATATTCATAAATGTATTTTGTAAGTATTGTATCTTGTAATTATTGCTTGTAACTATCATATTAATGATCGTATTAATCTTTTCAAAAAAGTAGTAGCTGTGAGTGGATAATGGCGGAGAAGCTAGCACAATGAGTGGAACAATGAGTGAGTATGATTATAATAGGTAATAGTTCAGGAACAGAGCGTAGAACACATGAAACTAACAACACATTTCCCAAAAAGATAATTATACGATACCCTGTCTTTGTACGTGTCTTCGCACTCTTTCTGAAAACAAATTTAATCATTGAAAGATTTGTGCATATTCCACGGATCAAACCCTATTGAAATTATTTTTCAAAATATCCCCTCTATGTACAAATATATATATATATATCAACTTGTAAAAACTTTAATCCATTGGGAAATAACCATTGACATAGAAAGAAATTGTTGTTGTTGTAATAATATACTTACTACTTCAATCAGAAAAAAAATAAAAAAAAAAAACAACAAAAAAAAAACAAAAAAAAAAAAAATAATAATAATTAAATAAAATACCAATGCGTAAAGTTATGCATGCTTAGGTGGACACAAGACGAACTAAATTTTGTTTTCTTTTTTCTTTTTTTTTTTTTTCACTCGCATCTGAAAAATTGTCCAATTTGATAATAGATATTCAATAGGATACATTTGTATTATATGTTAAACTAAGAGTGTGAGAGATATCGATATACGAAAATAAGGTATAGCGTTCATTAATTAAGTGTACTTGCAATATATAATGGAATATAATGTTGTTACTAAAGCTTTCACGAACACAAACACATAGAAGTAATATGTATAATAATCTACTATTTTCTTGATTCCACGTGATCCACGCTGCATTATTTTGCATACACATTTGGATTCATCCCAAATGAGAATAATTAAGTAACATGTATGTAACATACTTCTCTTATTGTCAATGTATGTGACATCATTTGGATGTTGACTTGAGATTGACTTGTAGGTAGATTATCCGTTGATCGAGATCTTGTTAATGATTTGGACCCAGTTATTAAGCTTTTACTTTTCAAAGCCATTTCTGTACGCAGAAATACTCGTGATATGTATGCCGAACTAAGTCCACGAATTCCAAATGCAGTTCGTAAAAATTTTGCTGGTGTTACCTGTTAATTAAATCATTAAAATTAAATCTCTATGAGAAGAGCGCTTATTAAATATCAAGAATTTTATAATATAACTTGTGACAAAAGATATAACAAAAATAATATTTATTTATTTACTTACAGGTATCTGTCTGCAAAACTTTGATAGTGCAGCATCCACACCATTTTTAGTTATTTCAACCATCCATTCTGAATTTTGTGACGACGAATATTTGTAGAATAGCAAAACAATTGCCATAGCTACTCGATAAAAAACCTAAAGACAAAAATGAAAAAATAAAATTTGTAAAATATCTTAAGGAAAATATTTTAATATTAATAGGATTTAAAAATGTGTAAGTATTTCTTTGGAAATTTTTTTTTCTTTTTTAAATACACACACATATATATAGTAAGAAATTTCTATCAATATATAACGTATAATTATAAATGTAAAATCTTAAAGATGGTTTAGTCAGTACACAAAAATGTTCTTGGGGCGGTTTCCTGTTGGCACCAAGTCAATCGTCAAATTTAACATTCACGCTACTAGAATATATACATATCATTTATTTCATCTTTATCTACCATCTGGATCAAAGCCATAAAATCTTACTAATGTGAGAGAAAATACTAAGAAGGTTTTATATACTGTTCCCAAAACACGCATCATGAGATAAATATGCATATTGACCGTATTCATTGGTATGACATTAAAAAAAAATTATTTTTCACCTTAATGCCCTCGTGTAAAAAGCAATCTATTACTCTAACAAGATGTTGAAATGGAAGAAGTTGAAGGATCCACCAAATCCAATCCATATAAATCCTTTCTGCTCTTGAGACAGAACAATGCCTTGTTAAATGTACTGCTGCTGATTTCTTATAAATATAAAAATTTCAAGATAAATGATTATAATAAATTTATATCAAATTACATTATAATTATTAATATATTATATTTCACTTACCACATGTTTCTTAGTTATTTGCTCTACAGTTTTCCATGTAACTTCATAGAGAAGTTTCGTTTGTGTAATAAACATTTTTTCTTTTACAGCTACTAAACTGGCCATACAGTGATAACATTCTTCTTCTATATAAAAGAAATAAAACAAAACGTATATATTAAACAATTAATTTATAATTAAACGTAGACGAAGAAATATTAAGATATATATATATATGTATGAAAAGACAATTTAAACCTGGCATAAAGTGTAATAGAAGGGCAGTAATAGGATACAACGATGGACTATAAGTAATATCAGGACAAGCGTATCCAAGAACAGAAACAACTCTATCAGCGACGCTTCTACCTTTTCTCGTTAAATTATACGATAGACAATGCGTGCTATCGACGAATGGCGGCAACATGATTGATTTTTCAGGTAACTCTGTAAAAAGAAATAGAAGAGTTAAAAAAAAAAAAAAAAAAAAAAAAAAAGAGAGAGAGAAAGAAAGAAGGAAAGAAAGACAGAAAGAAAGACTGAAATTATATAAGAAACGAAAATAAGTTATAGCCAGGGATATGTATATTGAATCGTAACATATAAAAATAAGTTTGTTTATATCAAATAATTTTATTCTTAGAATTAGAACATGTGTGGTTTATATTTGCAATCGGACTTTATTTATGTTACAACTCAATAGCAACTTCCTTTTAATCGAGAATATACATTACAGAAATTTTTGTTACCAAAATACAAACCTGTAGTTCCAAAGACTTGATTCACCATGTCCCAATAAAATCCATCAAGCATATTCTTTCCATGCGCATACTGATTGCAAAGAGCCGGCCAAAGTTGTGCCCTAATACCATTGTTTAAAGGCCAAGCATTCTCCCTAATTATTAACTTTACTTCCCTCTTCCTGCCTGTTTGTAAAAGTGCATTGACCTCTTTGAAAGTCTTCAATGGTTGCTTCTTACTTGTTGGCGATTCTGGTTGTATTACGATGTTTGTTGTATCGACATGCGGTGGGAATATGTCATCCACGTCGTTTTGCGCCTCCCCCTCGAGCACCGATAACATATTCGGTGGATTGTCCATCGAGGAGGGAGTCTGCGTGACCAACATCACACCTGCCACTACGGCAGAAGATTTCCCATATTTTCAATGAACAACATTCCCCTTCTAAGGAAATCCTATCCTTTATGTCAAATCCTGGGACGTTTCAATTTTCATCTAAAAGAAGAAAAGAAGAAAAGAAGAGAAAAAAAAAAATAAATAAATAAATAAATCAATCGATAAATCAATAAATCAATAAATCAATAAATCAATAAATAAATAAATTAGTGAGAAGATAATCATGCGTCATAATTGAGCCGATATTTATGAAAGTGTGAGATAATAAATAAGTGAAGGGGGAGGAAAAAAAATTTATTGATTGCGCAATTCACATAACAGTGATCTAATTAGACGAACTATGCAATAAATTAATTTTATTTTGTTAAATTTTGGAATTTCACAATTACCGATTCAATTATTTTTCAATGTTCGACCGAACACTATAGATTTCTTCTGCTCTTTCCTTCCTCTCTCTCTCTCTCTCTCTCTCTCTCTCTCTCTCTCTCTCTCTCACTCTTTTTTTTTCTCTCTCTCTCTTTCTCGCTCTCTCTTTCTATATAAATTTTGATATACATATCTTACAAAGTATCAATTTCATGAAGAAAAACATGGATTGAAATTATCAATTTCTTAGATTTATATATGTATTAGTTATCAACACGAATACCAAGTATCAATCTATTAACCAATGACTCTTAAGAAAATAATGTGTAGTGATCTGAAGATAATAAATGTATTTTACGATAGAGAAAGA